AGCTTCGTGGCAAGTTTTAAACCTCAAAGTGAGCTTTCATTTGTTGTTGTTCTGCAGCGTTTGTCCTGCTGTGGCAGCTGTTTGTTGTTGCTGGAAAAATATCCAAAGTTGGGGAAATTTCAACCCAACAAAAGCCAGTTTTGTTTTGTTTTTTACATACTGCCTCGGAACTGCTGCCGAGATCAAGGGCTTAAGTCCAATCCTTTTTGGAATTGCCCTTTCTGGCCGGCCAGTAACGGCCCCAGGGCTCAGCAGGCGCTTCCATTGAGGTTATGCCCCTGTTGTCCAGGGTGGTGATTCTGGCTGGAATATTTTTGCACAGGCTGATCGCGGGGACAAGATACCGAGCTCGAGGGACCTGGGCTCTGAGCTGATCTCTGCCGGGGGAGATGTTGTAACTGTCCACACCCCGCCCCCCCTTCACATGCTCACCCCGCTGCCCAGCAATGTCCACGTGACAGCCATGCACTCCTCAGCTGGGGCTGTCTGGGCCAGAGCCCACACCAGAGTCATGGGGTCAGCAGGGGAGAACGGGCTCAGAGTCCAGTCCGGCCTCGGAAACTGCTGCTGTTTGTTTCACTGTGGCCGTTCTCTGCCCCCCACGAGAGGCACTGCCCACACACCCGCTCCCGTGGGGGGTGAGAGCCGGGGGCCTGACATGGGTTCAACTTTAATTGAAGGGCGGCATTGTCTCCTTTGAAGGCGGGGTTTGTGACCAGCGTGGTTCCCCAGGGTCTGCTCCTCCCCAGGCCCAGCATCTTCTGGGGTTTCTTGTCTGTCCGGCCTCATGTGATCCCGCCCCAAGGCCCAGTAGGGTCCCATCTCCAGCACCTGCGGCGTCAGGCTCTCAGAAGCCACATGCCCACCCCGGCAGGGGGGGTCGCTGTCATTGCCCCCATGGTACGGAGGAGCCCAGGGATTCCCACAGAGGGATTTGCCCAAAGCTGGGGACGGAACCCAGGAGTCCTGATTCTAGTCCCTGCTCCAACAGACCTAGAGCAAAGACATGGAACCCAGGAGTCCTGATTCCCGAGCCGCAGCTCCAAGGCCTCCTTCCCTGGACCCGGCTCCTCAGTGGGGTAAGAAGGAGGGGCTTGCAGCTGGCTAGAGAATCCAGCTGGAGCTGAATGCTCCCCTGCTGAGCTGGGAATCCCCTAGAGGTGTGGCTGGAGGGGCTGAGTGCAGGGGGCCGGGGGGAGGCTGTGCCTTGTCACCTCCCCTTCTCCCCCAGTTACCAACACTATTGCGGGGTGCTTTGAGCTCCTTGCTGGGAGCTGATGTGGGGACAGGGAAGTTGCTGCCCTGGCTGTGGGAGTGACTAGTGGTTAGAGCAGAGGGGCCTGAGTCAGGACCCCCTGGCTACCAGCCCCCGGCCAGGCATTCCATATGCAACCCTGAGTGTCGCGTCCCTGCCCCGTGCCTCAGTTTCCCCAAGTGCCTCCAGACCCGCAGCTGGGGGCGGTGCTAGAGAGCTGTAAACTCTTGTTGTTGTTATGTGTGCAAATTAGGTGCTGCCTCTGGGCTCCTGGCAGAAATTGTCACCCTTCCCCACTGCCCCCCAGCCTCCCATCCCCACACACATACATACACCGTATAGCAAGGCAAATACAAGTTAAAGCTGAACGGGTTAATGCTACTCCAGCTTACTTCCCTCTTTTAAAACCACGGGGCTGGGGCCCTGGCAGAGGGAACTGGAGGTTTCATGATCACTGGGATGGCTGGTGCAATTAGTGGAGAGAAACCAGTGTGGAAGCCTGACTGGGGGTGGGGAGCGTGCCCCTCCCTCTCCCTCCCTAACAGCTCTGGGGGGGCTGCTCTCCCTGCACTGGTCTAGGAGCAGCTGAAAGCTCTTACGCTAAAGACCTCAAAGCCCCTGGCCTGCTGATCTCCAGCCCCTGCTCAGGTGCCCAACCCCCGGCTGGCAGGTCTTGCCACCCGGAATGCCCGGTGCCAGTGGCTGCTACTGCCAGGAGCGTGGTGCTGGGGTCCGGGCCTGCTTCCCCTGCTTGCAGGCATTGTCTCTCTGCCAGAGGCGTGCAGGGGTTCGGCTGAGCCCTGCTCAATGCCGTGGGCCAGGCAGGTTGCTACTCGAATGCATGGCGTGTCAGCGCCTCCCCCTGGAGTGTCTCAAAGCGCTTTGCGGCCGTGAGCGACCCACGCCCGGCACGTCTGCCCTGTGATGTCCCTTGTACAGACGGGACCCTGAGGCCAGATCTACCCCAGGGAGGAGGTGCCAGCAATGCGCTGTCGGCAACACTGCGCTTCTACCAGTGTAGCTGACTGCAGCCTCCCCCAGCGAAATACATGACGGTGGTAACGGTGTGTGGCCTGAGGCATCAGGGCTTGCTTACGGTCAAAGAGTAAGAGAGCCAGGGAGAGAACCCAGGAGTCCTGGCTCCCAGACCTCGCTGCTCTAAACCATTAGACCCCACTCCCCTCCCCGACCTGGGAACAGAACCCAGGAGTCCTGATTTCCCAACCCTCACCTTCCCTTCCCCTCTAGACCCCATTCCCCTCCCAGAACTGGGAATAGAACCAGTCCTTGCTGTGACCCACTACACCCAACTCCTCCCCACCCCCCCGCCCTGGGCCAGGATGTTTGCTTGCTCTTGTATCTTTGGAGAGAAACCAAAAGAATTCCCGGGGGGGGTGAGCCCAGGAGCAGTGAAAGCACCCCCCCCCCCCCCCCCGCCCCAACACACACACCCCATTCCTTCTCCAGGCCCCTCCAGGGCCATTAACCAGCAGCTGCTCACTGGAGTTTCCCTGCAGGCCGGTTTTCCAGATGCTGGGGGCTCGTGTGCTATGAAAGCCGAGCCCCTGAGTTGGCCCTGCTTGCTAGGGGCTGGGGGGGGGGTAGTCTCCCCAACTTAACCCCTCCCCCCGCCCCCAGGCACTGAGCTCGCTTCCTGAACCTGGCCTCACACGCTGTGTCCTGGGCGGACTCATTGACACATCTGCCAGCTCCCACCCCTGCTTGGGAAGCCCGTTAGGGTGACCAGATGTCCCGATTTTATAGGGACTGTCCCGATTTTGGGGTCTTTTTCTTATATAGGATCCTATTACCCCCTGACCCCCGTCCTGATTTTTCACCCTTGCTGTCTGGTCACCCTAAAGCCCGTTGACAGCAGCTCTCCGGGGTGCCCACGGGGCGTCGCTCAGAACCCAGCGCAGAACCCTTCCTCCGGGCGGGGGGGGGGGGGGGTGCAGGTCGGCGCTCCAGCAGCTGTGACTTTCTGATGCCCGGGGCCCAGAGCTCCCGGATAAGCTGGAAGATTATTGTGGATGGTGGGGGAAGGGCAAAGCTCCTTTCTCACAAACCTGGCCAGCGTGCCAAGGAGCCCTGGCCTGTCTCACATCTGGCGCTGCGCCTTCAGGGGCGGGGGAGAGCCGGCTTGGGGCAGCTGGGTGCTGTTCTGACGCTTCCATGCCCGGCTCTGCCAGTGCCCCTCGCTCCTGCCCCCTCCACCGTGTTGCAAGGGGCACCTGAAAGCCAGTTCGGCATTTGCCAGCCCAGGGCGTTCTCAGTAACACAGATCAGCCCCCGCTCTGTCTCGTCAGCCCTGCCATGCGCCTCTCCAGCGCAATGCAGGGAGATTCAGCTCCCCTGGCTCCTACCCAAACTGTCCCCCAGTAACAGGACCATCTGCCCCCACTTGGGAGCACCCCCCTGCAGAGTCACCTGGAGGTGTCTTGTTCCCCTGTTTGCTTAGTCCATGCTGTTCCATTGACTTGGAAATCCTTCTGTAAGTGGTGCCCCTGCCAGAGCGCCTCTCTGGGGAACCTGGCCCCGCTGGTGAGATCATCTCTGTGTGGAGTTTGGATGCTGAAAGGTGCAGCCCCGTGTGTGTCTGGCCATGCCCCGGCTGAGATGGGCGAAGGGCTCTGGCTAGTTTGCCTTTGGGAGGGGGATAGGAGGGGGGCTTCTTGTTGATGCTCCTGCTACAAATGCTGCCCTCCCGCCGCCCCGCATGCAGAGCGGGTGTGATCATGGAAGCCAGGCGGACGGGCTGGGCCTGCGCCGATCCCAGGGCGCTGGTAGTGCTGGCGGTCAAAGCCGTGCTTCTCAGGCGGCAGAGAGGCAAGGGTGGGTGAAGCCTCATTAGCCCCATTTTGCAGAGGGGAAAACTGAGGTTAACAGCCTGGGGCCAGGGTCCCCAGCTGGCGCAAATGGTCGGAGCTCCATTGACAGCAAGGGGATTACGCTGATTTACGCCCTCTCAGGAGCTGACCCCCTGGTTCTCATCGCGCCTGCAGCTGCTATTGATGGTCTGGCTGTTGGGAGTTTGGCCCCGGGCGGCGGAGGGAATCTGTGTGCCGGTGTACGCCAGAAGAGGGTCGCCTTGGGGGGACAGACAGGGCCAGCGATATGGGCCTGCACTGTGACTGCAGGGATCGCTGTCCCAGTGAACCCGCCGCGTGCAGACACGGCTCATGCTGGTGACGGTGCTGGTTTTGCTGGCGTATCTTGCGCTGGTTCGGCGGATGAACTAAGCTCTGCCGGCAGAAGCGTTGTTGGGCAGTATCGCCGCCTCTACGCTGGAGCTTTCGCTGGGCTAGAAAGGTCTTAAATCCCCTCCCTAACTGACGTCGAGCTGCTCTCCTGCATCCGACCTGGCCTGCGTCAGAGCTGTGAGATAACCTGTGTCCTGGCTTCCCGGTCCTTGGGCTCCCATCCCCATCTCTGGTGTCTGGCCACTGCTCGGCGGACAAAGCCGCCGGCCTGGCCACCTCTCCACGGGCTGCCTGTGACAGTAGGAAGAGATTGGTCTAAAAGCTTTTGCTGCCGTCTCTTGGAAAGGGGGGAAATCCAGACCCTGATGCTTTCCTGTCTCTCCCCCCTTTCTCGGGGGGGAGGAGGGGGATGCTATCTAATGGCACCCTAGGTTGCTCTGCAGCACATCTGTCCCCTACCCCAAAAAGGGCAGGGAGAGCAGCTGAGTTGCTGGGCCCCTGTGACAGTGGAAGGGAGACCCGTCTCACTCTTGTCCTCTCCCCAGGTACAGCCTGTACGCCCGCACCAAGCTGGGCTACCTCTTCTACAAGCGGCAGATGAAGAAAGCCCGGGAGCGGTATCCACATGGCCACTCGATCCCCCAGCCCGTGATGTTCAACGGTGAGTCCTAGCTGCTTCCGGGGCTGCCCCCCACCCCGCTTCTGGAGCCCGTTCTCACTCATCCCACAAGTCCGGGGCCCAGACCGGAGTGCCAAGGTAGCACGCCGCCTGAGAGAGTGAGTCTCTAGCCCCCTCTAGCAGCAGGTGCATGAGAGGGTAACAGTCTACTACAGCTGCCAGCTAGTGGAGTTCCTCCTTTAGCTCCGGCGGCAGAGCCTTGTGCTTTTAGCACTGAAGGGACCGGGTTCCATCACGGGGGGATGAAGAGTGGTTACGCTAGCACATGGATCCAGGTTCGGGTTGGGCCGGGGTCTGGGGATCTAACTTAGCACGAGGCGCTGACAGACCCCGAATCTCGTGAGCGGCTCCAGCAGTAACTTGGGCCTCGTCTGAGCAAACTCTCCAATTCCGCTGCCTTGGCCCGAGTCCGGATCGGGACAAATGTTGCAGGGTCAGAGTCTGAGCTGGTTGGTCCCTGGACACTCGGGGCTGCCTGGGGTTTGAGGCTCTGGCTCAGACCCCCTTTCTCAGCTGCTTGTCTGTCTGCTCTGTTACCTCAGGGGTAAAGATCCTGCCGATCCCTGTGTTATCCAACAACTACAGCTACCTGGTCATCGACACCCACTCCAGCACTGCTGCCGCCATCGACCCCTCAGACCCGCTGGCCGTGCAGGTGAGAACTCCTCCCCTGCCCCGGCGGGGGCGCTCTCCCGCCCCACGGGGACCAGCGCCCCGCCCTCCGGCGCGTGAAATTGACCGGGGGATCGATCCACTGAGACGCGCGGGGGTCTCTGACGCTGAGGGGTGGGGAGATGGGACCCGCCCCCTTTCACCATCCCATAGCCGCGGTGCCACTCTGGGGTGACCACTGGTAGTGCCTGAGCCTCTCTCTGTGCCCCCTCTTCCTGCCCACCCTCCTCTCCCAACTGTCTTCTCTGTATCCTGAGGATCTGCCGGATTTTGGCAGCAGCACCGACCTTTGCCGGCTGGGCTGCCTGTCCCACCCTCCCTGGCGTCGGGGGGCAGCAGTGAAGGGGGGGCATCAGACAAGGAAGATCAGGCCCCCAGCCTTGCTGCAATCGGTGCCTCTCGCCCCCTCGCTGCCCTGCTCTTCAGAGGCCCCCCGCAGCCACCGGCCCAGCCCCCTCCTTCCTGCTGCCTGAGGCTGCGAGCCCTTTGTGGTCCCGCCTGTTTGTTCCGCGGCCGGGTGGGTGCCAGAGACTCCATGGAGCCCGCTGGGGACTCGGCTGCTATTGATTTTGCAGGGAAGGTGCCCGGATACCATGGTGATGGGTGAAAGGCTAAACCCCTGAGAGAGAGAGAGAGAGAGCTGCGTGTGTGAGGCTGGTAGGAGGGGGAGGAGAGTGAGAGAGAACGAACAGTGAGAGATGCAGCACGGAGGAGGCGGGGGAGGCCACAGAAAGGAAATGCAGCACTCCCTTGTTTGGGGGAGGGGCGCGGGAATCCCAACTCCTAAAATACCCCTCCACCAATGGAACTGCCCTCAGTGACTGTGTGCACACCCAGCCGCACCCCGTCACTTCGCTGTGCTCAGGCATTGGCCCCTCCCTCCCCCCAAGTTGCAGTGGGGTGATAGGGAGCATGGGACCACGGGGCTGGGGTAGGACCAAGGCTCCATGCCTGTCTCCAAGCCCCACGCTGTAGCCACTCAGAACTTCGCAAGTGGGGTGGGACGCTGCTCCCCCAGCTGCACAGCGCGAAGGAGAATCCCCTTAAGATCGTAGCGCTACAGGGCCCATGACACAGATGAGCAGTTCTGAATCCAGCCAGCAGAGGGCAGCGGTGCATGCACTGTCTCATTACAACCTGCTTTACAGAGAACTTGGCTGCCCCTTTTAACCCCGTCATGGCCAGTCCTAGCGACGGGAGACAGCAGCAGCTGGTGCGTCAGCCCCTCGGTGGCCCCGTCTCTGACATAGGGGACGCTTTGCCCAATGGTCAATACAAACCAACTGCTGGCTCCACTCTGGTGCGCCCAGCCGGTTGGATCTGTGCCCACAAGTGGTGCCTGCTGCGCCCTCCCTGAGAGCAGCTGCCCCCTGTGCACGCTGCCAGGACATGCCAGGCTCCAAACCCGTTACAGAGCCACCTGGGAGCAGGGCTGAGTCACTCCGGGGACGTCCCCTGGGCAGGCGGAGCGGGGGGGGGGCTTCTCTGGAATCTTGTTCAAACTTGCGCTGCCTGCTACCCAGCATGTGGGAGATCAGCCAGCATGCAGATTGCTACTACGTTGGCCTTGGTTCTTTTTAACTCCTCAGTGCCTGGAACTCACTTAGCGCCAAGAGCAATGAATCCTGGGGAATGAACTTGGAGGGAGACCTGCCCTTGGGGCTGGCAGGAAGCAGTGGGAGGAGAAGGGGAAATGCGGCAGAGACAAAGGAAGAGCAGCTGCTGCATGGAAATGACTGCTTCTCCCAGTGCAGGGTCTGCGCTGGGCACGGGGGAGCCTTCCCAGAGCCCCCAGCTGCGAATGGGCCACCAGCAGGACAGGACTGACTCTAAAATAGCCCTCCCCCCTGCCCATCTAGGGAAGGAGCCAGTGCGTGAGCCGCTCCGCTCCCCAGCCAGATCGGGGTGGCCTAGGATGCTTTGGAAGCGAGTGGCAGGACCATTGGCCTGTATAGAATGACTTCTGGGGTGTGGGGGGGCTCCCAGCCCCCCATGGGAGCTCAGGGTTAGAGGCCTCTTGGTGCAGAGAGATGAGATTCTCTGCTCTGGTCACTTTCACCTCGAAGCCCCAGCCTGGAGCTGGGTGTGGATCTGCCTCTGATCACAGAACAGCCCCAGGCTTATGAACAGCTGCATCTGCACGGGTGGAATCTGGGCTCACGGAGGGTCAGCAGCATCCCCCCTCCCCCTCCAGAAAAGGGGGCCTGACCCAGAGGTTGTCTGGCTGGCTCCCAAGCTCAGTGTCGCTGGTTAAACAGTGTGTGCCGTAAAAAGCGCCGGGGGCAGGAAATGGCTCGGCGAAGCTGAAGACGAAAGTGAGGTGGCAAAATTTACAGCCGATACACAATGATTCAAGATCGTTAAGCCCAGAGCTGACTGTGAGCGAGGAGCGACAAAGGGATCTCGCCAAACTGGGCCACGCACCGGCAGATGAAATGCAATGCTGAAAAAGGGCACCGTCAAGCACACGGGGAAAAGTAATCCCAACTGTATGTAGAAAATGCTGGGGTCTAAATTAGCTGTTACCTCTCAAGAAAGAGATCTGGGGGTCATTGGGGATAGTTCTGTGGAAACATCTGCTCAGTGTGCAGCGGCCGTCAAAAACTCAAACAGAATGTTAGGAACTATTAGGAAAGGGCTAGATAATGAGACAGAAAATATCCTATTGCCTCTATATAAATCCATGGTACGTGCACACCTTGAATACGGTGCAGTTCAGGTCGCCTTATCTCAAGAAAGATAGATTGGAAGTGGGAAAAGGTCAGAGAAGAGCAACAGAAACGAGTAGGGGGATGGAACAGCTTCCGTGTGAGGAGAGATTAAAAAGTCTGGCACTGTTCGGTTTAGGGAAAAGATGACTGAGGGGGGGATATGAGGGAGGTCTATAAAATCATGACTGGTGTGGAGAAAGTGACTAGGGACGTGTTATTTACCCCTTCACATAACACAAGAACCAGGGGTCACCCGATGAAATTAACCGGCAGCAGGTTTAAAACAAACATAAGGAAGTGCTTTCACACAACGCCCAGTCAGCCTGTGGAACTCCTTGCCAGGGGATGTTGTGAAGGCCAAAACTAACTGGGTTCAAAAAAGAGCTAGATAAGTTCCTGGCGGGTGGGTCCATCAGTGGCTATTAGCCAAGATGGTCAAGGACGCAGCCCCTGCTCTGGGTGTCCTTAAGCCTCTGACTGTGAAAAGCTGGGAGTGGAGGACAGGGGGTGGCTCACCCACTCATTGCCCTGGTCTGTTCATTCCCTCTGAAGCACCTGGCACCGGCAGTGGTCAGAGACAGGATCCTGGGTGAGATGGACGATTGCTCTGCCCCAGTCTGGCCGTTCTTACATTGCTAAGCTACAGCTTCCCTGGGGATTCCTGTAGCAATGGGGTGGGGCCGGCCCCCCGCCAGGGGCTGGGAGGGATCTGGACTGCCATGCGGAGCCCTGGGTTTGCATCCTGCCAGGCTGGCCGGGCATGGGCTACTCAGCCCTATGGCAGTCACGGGTTCGAGTCTCGCCCATCACACCTGGGGCAGCTGTGGGATCTGGGGGCAATTCCTTTGCACGGAGTGTGGAGCAGCGGGGGGGGGG